TAGATAAGAGCGACTAATTTTTGGTAGAGTTTTTGGTTGATTGCTATCTACAACATTTTCTTCGTCTTTTTCCTTGCTAGTTCCCCCGCTCGCTGCCCAATTCATCCTTCTATTGCCCTTCACTCTCGAACTCTTCTCGTCAAACATTGATGCCGACTTAGATAAACTCAATTTTGCTAAATGCAGTCTCTTACTTGGGCCTCATTTCTTTTTTCCCAATTGCTCATTTGCTATTGCGCTTACATAAAGCTTGATAAATAATCTTTGAATTTAGATTAAATTTTGACTTGATTTGGAAGAGAATTTTATGTTTCATAGTTGAAACCTTGGTGATGATTTGATTGTTGGATATGTTAGCGTGTTCGATTTGAATAGTTATTGGACTCCCAAAGTCCTATTGCTTTGGACTGCAATTTTTTTGGGTCAGGGCTCGAGAAGCTAAGATGCTGGAATGATCCAAATTAGTTCTCAAACTGGGCCCAATGAAAAAGACAGAAGCCTACTGGCTACAATGAACTTCAGCTTTCTTTGGATGGTGGTTTTTTGAATAATTTTTGACATAATTACTAATAATTTTCTACATAAATGTACTTGTAACATGAAATGATGACTGAAAAAATATATGCATGAAAAAAATGCTTTCTTATTAAAATAAAAAAAAACTGAATGGATTTCTCTTTTGTAGGATTAGTGAATTGCAAAGGCAAACGAAAATAAAAGATAAGGAGAAGATGGATGGTTGGTCCTACAGTTTATTACTACTTCATTTTTATAAAGAGTGGTTGAAGAAGATGGTGACCATATTTGATTGTACTAAATTATCTTAGAGCATATTTGAATTGCTATTTTCTAATTTTTTTATAGAAAAATATATTATGGCGATTTGATATATGTGAGATAAAATAAATTAAAAATCTATTAAAAAAGAGTAAAAATTTTTCTTTGAAAAAACTTCTATCCAAACAAGCTCACTTCCGGATGTTTGGACTGCTATTTTTCTAGGTCAAGGATCAACAGTTTAAACTGAGCCCACAAAAAAAAAGAGCGAAGCTTACAAGCAAGATTGGTTCAGTTTGGGTGGTCATTTTTTAAATAATTTTATAAAATAACTTGTAATGTTATAACCTAAAATGACCCGGAGAGAGTTGGGTTGGCTTGGGTGATAAGATGAGAGGGATTGTAAATGGAAGATTGTGAACCCAAAACTCTCACTTAGGGGGAAAAAAAAGGGAAATGATGATTGAAAAAAATGTGCATGAAATTTTTTTAAACTTTCAAAAACTGGATGGAGCACTTTTATAGGATTAAAATGGAAACCAAAAAGACGGGCAAAAGAGAAAAAGAAAAAGTGGAGGAGGAGATGGATTGTTGGTCTAATGATTAGTACTTCATTTTGGAAAGAGTGGTGGAAGACGCTGCTGGCCATGTTTGATGGTGCTCAATTATCATAGGCTTAACTCTTGGGGGCCCTCCAGTACCATTTCTGTCCCCTAGTACCTGTTTGGATCCTATCTCAATCGTGAAGCACTTTCCTTGGACTATCAAATTTTAACGCATCAAACATTTCCAGATTTCTAATCCACAAAAGTCCACAGGCAACGTTTCTTCCGCATCAAGCGTGTAACCCACACGTTTACAGATTTTTTTTGGTTGTACACAAAACTTGACAACGAATCCCAGACGTCATGACTTATGAAAGGTCTTAAGGGCAAATCTTTGATCCTCAAATTCACCAATGTTAGACACAATTTACGAGATAATACATAATGACACAGGAAAAGTAATCATTAAAATACTACTGTTCCACGAGCAATTTCATTGATTAAACTTCAACTTTGCTTGTTCATACATCTAAGGGTTTGATTGGAAGTGTGTTTTTTATTAGACAAGTTTTTTTAGTAACTTTATCTATAATAATTTTAAAAAATATTTCTAAAATTTTAAAATACACATTCGAAAATATCAAAAATATATGTCATCTTACTAATCAATCACTACCCTCCCACGTCAACCTGCCGTAACTATTTCCCCACCGTTACCTATGTTGATGCCGATCGCACTGATGCCAACATCCTTCCTCTTCCTTTTTTTCTCTTTTTTCCTTGTTCTCTCCCTCTCTTCCTCCCTCTTTTTCCTTCTCTTTCTTCTTCCTTCTTCCTTCTCTCATTTCCCCCTCCTGCTCCTCTTCCCCAATCACCTCTTCCGCTCCCTCCTCCCTATTTTCATCGGCCCCCTCTCCCCCTCTAGTCGAGTGGGGCTGGTGAAGGAAAGAGAAGGAGAAGGAGGAGGAAAGGAGATAGGAGAAGAGAAAAAGGGAGGGAGGGAAGAGAGATGAAGGACGAAAGAGGAGAGGGAGGGAGACATAGAGAAGAGGAAAAAAAAAAAATGAGTTTCCATCGCCGCCGGTGGTAGTAGGAGGCTGCCGCACGACAGTTGGGAGGGAGGAGGAGCTTTGGTTTAATTTGGTACAGGGAAGTGGGAGAGGAAGGAGAAGGAAGAAAGAAAGGGAAAGAAAAACGAATGTAAAGAAAAAGAAGACGAAAAAGGAAAATTTTTAATTTTTCCAAACCCTAAAAATACACCCAATGCTTTTTTTGCTAATTTAATAATAAATTATAGTAAAATTTTATACAAACATTCAAAAAACATATATTTCAAACCAACCCTAAAATTTTAATAGGGTCACAATATAAATTGTAAGGTGGAATTAAGGACCTCGACGAGGGGGAAAATTAATAGGCTTGTAGACTAAACCATTGAAAGACAAACAGCACGGTTTACTTAGTCTGCTTTATATTATATGTATATGTATGTTGTCATCTTGAGTCGGGAAGTCCCAACGATCCTTCTCAACTTCACTGTACCCAGGAAAATAGGAAAAAAAAAGGAAAAAAGAACAAGTCAATTCAAGCATTATTTTGACGACTTTAACGGAAATAAGAAGCGCTCTAAAGAAACGAAGTACCATGACCTTGACGGCGTCATTGTGAAGAAAAAATGTTAAAAGCATCACGGGCTTCACAGCTGTTAGCTTGTTTGTTCGCTCTTATAGTATACGCGGGGTCATGACTCGTGACTTCTTCCCTGGTTCAGTTCTCACTTTCTAACAATTCATATAATTTCCAAGTCCAAAATCCCTTTCTCCAGAAACCTAAGCTGTTCTGATTCATTTTCAAACTTCTTGAAAAAGATAGTAATACACTCTGCGTCTGAACGAGAGATAGGAACGGTTTATTTTTAGCTGTTTAGGAAATTGTTATGGAAAGGTTAACGGTCAAGATGGCTCAAATTTAACTTTGAAAAATGTGTAGTCTAGATAATAATAATACTTTGAAAAATGTTACTTTGAAAAATGTTAGGAAATTATTTTGAGTATTATTAATATGTTTTGTACACCATTTTCAATATCATGCATGGATCCAACAAAGCATCTGTGTTGGAAATATACATTGCTCAATATCATGTATAATATTGAAGAGTTTGTAATTTGATCTTTTTTATGTGACATTAAAAAGCGCTATCAAACTTTTGCAAACATGTTACATAAAAACACTTCCTTGAGTAGGGGAGGAATCTGGGGTAGTGGGTTCTTCTTTAAAGCCTAATAGAGGCTGCCCTACTAACTTTCCCGTAGTCTCACATCGTTTCTTTGGAGTTGGATAAGGCTGCAAACGAATCGATCCGCTCGCGAGCAGCTCGAGTCAAGCTCGAGTCGATCTCGATCTCGATCAATATCGAGCTCGAGCTGGCTCGAGTCGAAACCGAGTTCGAATTCGAGCTCAAAATATTAAGCTCGTTAGCTCGCGAGCTCGAGTATATATATATAATATTTTTTTATTTTAAGTATATATATATATTTTTTATTTTAAGTATATATATATTTTTTATTTTCTTATTTTAATAGTAAAATTACATATATATTCTTAATATTTTATTATTTATTAAGAAAAAAAATATTATTTTATTTATTTTTTAAAAAATAAAATAATTATTTATTATTTTTTTTCAAGCTCGACTCTAATCGATTCGAGTCGAACTCAAGCTTTAATTTGCCGGCTCGTCGAGTTTGAGCTCGAGTTTGAGTTTGGTAAAATTTAGTCGAGACTCGACTCGATTAGTCCAAAATTCGACTCGACTGGGCTCGTTTGCAGCTCTAGGATTGGGGGTTTGGGTAGTTAAGTCCCCAAGGTTGCTTCAAGAGTTGCTGGCTTTTGGGGTTAACTTTGGGATTAGGTTTAATTAATTAACTTCAAAAGTCTGAAAAAAAAAAAAAAAGAGTAGGGGAGGAATGGATTTAGTGGTTCGGAGAGAAAAAAATGTAAGTGAAAGGAAAAAAATACTGGCACTTCTTTGAGTTATGTTTGTTACACAAGTTTTTCACCCATCAAAAAGCCCAATAATAATAATGTTTACTTTCTTTTGACACAAGAAAAAGTTTTCCTTGATAATTTTCCTCATATATCTTCTACTAATTAAATGTGGGAAATTCTACCATTGATCGCTTTTGAATACCCTATTTATAATTGTATAATATAATAATAAACTCTTGACGCATTATCTAACTGCTAATGTTTCTTTTATACACAGAACGATGAATTGATACTCATCGGTAAAAGCAACTGTATAACTTCATTTTCATGTACATCACCTGTGTAAATATTTTTAATGTAGAATGACAAAATAGAAAAGAGAAACTTGCTCTTTTTTTTATTTTTTTGTTATTTTCTTCTTTTTCTGTTTTAATTTCTACTTTGGCTCAGGGGGCTTCTTGAAAACATAAACTCTCTATCACTTATCTTCAACAGAATATTGCTGACATTTGGCTTCAGATCCACACAGGAACGAATTAACGGCGTCGTTTGAGCTGGGACAAAGCATGAAACGACACTGAAGAACGTAGTTTTGCATGTCGCTGTCGTACCTCCTTTGCCCACCTCCTATCCCTAAAAGTTTCACACCCGAATCCTGGAAACTACCAGGTCTGTGAGGACGCCGACTTTTCTCTCTCTTCTTCATCACTCTCTTCTTATTTTTTTTTTTTTTCCTTTTCTCCCAAGCAACGATTTTATCAAAGAAAACGGCACCGAAAATATCCTTTATCAGCATAGAAATAGAATAAATAAAAAGGGGAATTCAACTTTTTATACTTCTGCAACTGATAAGAATAAATCTCAAAACCCTATATGCTTTTGGCCGTTTGATTCCCAACGTCGTCGTCTCATCCTCGTTTTTTTTTTTCCTCCGTAGTAAATAAAAGTCGTCATCTTCTTCTGTTTCACTAATCGCCGAGACGACGACGTTTCAGCGCCGAGAGAGAGCATCATCCCCGATGAAGCGCTTTTTTGTTTACTACACAAGAAGGTAAAATTGATTTGTTGCTATTTTTTTTTTGAAAAATTCTGTGTCTGACTTTTAAGATTTCTTAGTTTTAGCTTTTTTTCTTTTTAAATGTTTGTCTGGGGCTTGATTGGCATGATTGAATATCTTTTTTCATTGATTTTGAAATTGACCAATCAGAAAAATTAAGGTTTTTTTTATCTTGTACGGAAATTTAATCCTTTTGTTTTCTCGACGTTTTGGTATTAGATTTTGTTTGAATTTTACAGATCGGTGTTAGTTATGAAGTTTGAGTGGATATTCTGGTGGTGATTTGTTTTTGGTGGCTGAAACTTTGAATTGGATTGGATTTTAACAAAAATTTCGGTTTTTTCTATTTATATGGGTGTTTATTTTTAGTTTTCGGTTTTTGATTCTGTAGGGCTTGTGGATTTTTTGTAGTCTTCTATGGTTGTTTTTTTTTAACTTAAATTTTGGGATTCCTATTCTTTTTTTGGTCAAATAAGTAGGTAAGTATATATGAGGCAAAGACCGTGAGGAGACAAGCTGTTATGATTTCTATCAGTTTTAGGTTTAAATTTGTTCAATTAAAGTTCATAGGATTAGTAATATTGGATTAAATAATGTAATTACTCTGGAGGTAATAGCGTTTACTGGAGAGTCCTGTTTCTGATTTGGCTTGGTGCTGGGGTTTGTTTGAATATATATGTTCTTTCGGTAAAACTAAAAGCGTGTTTAAGAAACACGCGATGTAAGTAATCCGTTTTTGTACAGAACATGATTATGGTGGAAGTAGTGGGTCAATTACAAGATAGTTATGAACAGATATGGGATTTGGTGAAACTGTGGGGATTGGAAAATTAATTAAAGGATGGGGATTGTACATTTACTCTGTGCTTACAGGTCTGAAGCTCCATTGTAGTTTGTGGATTGCCTCTTGACATTTTCGGTTGTATACCTTGTACTAATTACTTGTTAGGGGTTTGACTTGTTCTGCAGTGTTTATTTTTTTTTTTATGCAAAAGTAAAAGTGTGTTTTCAAAACACGTGATTTCGTTGGCTTGGTTGCGGGGAAAATGCAGATAGATTGAAATTTGCTGCCCCCGTCCTGCATTTACTCTACGCTTACGTGTGGAGCACTCAATTCATTTCCTTTATTGCCTTTTGATGTGGGTGCTATGGTGTATGTATCGCGCTTTGATATGTGTGCATTTGTATGCATATGTTTTGCGTGTTTCATGCTGTGAAATTCTTTTGGAAAAATTGACCAATTGACAAATTGACTATTGTTACCTTTGTTTGCACACATATTGTTATTGGTAAAGCTTTAAATGCATGGACTGAAGAATTGAGCTGTAGGCTCCAAGATGTTTAGCTATTGGCCCCTTTGAAATGAAGGCAGCCTGTTATCCTTATAAGGGAAATAATAGATTGCATAAAGATATTTTTCCCCTCAAGTTTGGTAGTCCACTTTCAGCATTGTGTTTTATTACAAAAGATATAAATACAGGGTTTTCTTTCTCAAATCTAGATTTTAAGGATTGGAGCTTGCATGGTTGATGGTTTCTTGGCAAGAGATAATTAAGCATCTTGGTCAAAATTTTTTTTCCATTAAGTTCAGTAATTAAGGGGTTTCCCCTGACCTACAATTCTACTTGCACCTAATTGTACTTTTCTGAGTCATGGAGTGTGTTATTTCAGAAATTTTTTTGAAGCAACTATTTTCATGTGTGAAATGTCCTTTTATGTATTTTTTTATGTTTAGTTTCTTTATATCTTTCTTTTTTATTATTATTATTATTGTCATTTCATATTTGAAGTACTGACAAAATTTTGTCATTTTAGTGTGGTTTAAGTTTGTCAGAGCAGCTGTTTAGTTTTTAGTCAAAAGAATAGGAAAGAACTTGTCGAACTAACAACATGTCTATGGAGAACAGAGGCGTGTACAGTGATCGTCTCTCCTCGCAGAATTTGGTATGTACATACATAATTAGCTCTAGCCTACATCACTGTGTGTTTCGCTATCTTTTTTCACATCTGCTGATGAAGAGTCGCATAACTGTTCCTTTGTTAAATATCAGATGCCAGTTCCAGAAATTCATTAGGCATTCCATGCATTGTGTTGTCAATTTCTTGATATCACCTTGCAGCTTATGATGTTCACAAATTATCTTCGTTGTTGCGATTGCCAAGGCTTGTAATTCATCCTTTCACAGTGGTCTTTGCTTCCATGGTTGCCATGTTCTTTTGTATCTGGAGAATTTCAGCTTTGGAAGTCTATGTCTAATTCCTGTATTCAATTGCTCTCATAGTTGCATTTTTTTTATTCCCTTTTCAAGTGTAATAATTTCTAAAGGTCTAATGCAGCCATTATTTTGTAAAAATGTATAGACTAGTTTGTAAGCTCCTGATTAATAGTATTTCATAGGCAAGTGGAATATGCAGTCTGAAACTAATTGTTTTTTCTTTTCTTTTTTTTTTTTTCAGGTTATGCAGTTTAATCTCCATGGAGTTATTCCCCAGCTATTTTTTCCGGAGGAACTATACTGGATTAAAGTAGTTAGCCCTGTCGATTACAGTTTGTGAATATTAGATAGTCTTTGTAGATAATGGAGTCAAAGAGAGTTAAAGTTGTTGAAAATGGCCGTAGGATTGGTGTTGACTTACAGAAAACAAAGGCACCTAAGTCTTCGGCTCAGGTAATTAGAGCAACCAAGAAGAAGTTGTCAGCACGATCTGACAGTATTTCATCCCTGAACAAAACAGGAAAGAGGAAAAGACAGGATGGGCGCAAGACAAATTGTCAGTTGCACTCAACAAAGTCTTTGCTGAAGAACTACTCAAACTTCATCAAGAGTGGGCTGCCAGAGCGCTTTCTGCTTCACGAGAATGGCGAGTGGACCGATTTTCCTCAAGACACGGTGGACTTGGTCAGAACAGAGTTTCGAGTCAAGAATCCTGCAATTGAGATGAAGTTCCATGGTGAACCTGTGATCCTAGATATCTTATACATGGTCCAGGTTGAGCTGACAACTGGTTCACAGAAACCTATAGCTTGGATTGATGAAGAAGGTAGATGCTTCTTTCCTGAATTATATGGGCATGGACACTGCCAAACTGAGGCAGATAGAGATGAAGCTTTTGTTGGTAATGACCTAAATGGATCTCAAGAAATCAAGCTACATTTGGAGATAGATGTAAATGGACTTAATAGTGGTGATTTGGAGGAGGTAGAAGAATCCAACATTGGGGTCAAGAAGATGAGGATGGAGCAAGAATCTGTTAAAAATCCTAGACAGTTAGATGATGAAGGCAAGCAGGATGCTTACTCAGATGCTAAATTGAATCATACTGTTGGGGATAATAATCGTATTGGTGGAGATTTCATGGAAGCTTCATCCAAAATTGTTGATGCAGGAACTATTAGAAATATGTTCCAGAAGGCAACAAAGCCATTCTTCAAAGTGAGCATATCTGGAATCAATAAATGTTCTAGTAGCTTACTGCAGACTCGGTTGGACCTTTTTGAGAAGCAGCTTGAAATTATCAAAAAGGTTCGTGGGAATGCCAATGTCCAGTATGCTTGGCTTCCTTGTAGTAAAGATGCAGTGTTTAGCATTATGACATATGGGCTTGGGCATGGGTTGCCTGAACCGAGGATCAAATATGGTATTGGAGTACACCTCAGCAGTGTAAATTGTGCATATTCCAGGTTTGCTTTGCCTCTTTTGTGTTTCTAGTTTTGTTTCTAGAATTGGAATGCCTCTTTTGTCAAAAAATGAAATTAGTCTTAGGAACATGCGCTGTTTCTTTTCTTGTTTCTGCTTGAGATGTGCTTATTAAGAAGATTTATGTTTTCTGTCAGTGTGAGTAATTGCGATGTTGACGAAAATAGAGAGCGATATGTGGTACTTTGTCGTGTCATATTGGGAAGTATCGAACTTCTCCAACCTGGATCCCAACAGTGTCATCCAAGTAGCGAAAAGTTCGACACTGGAGTTGATAATTTGGAGAGCCCAAGTCAATATATTGTCTGGAATATGAATGTGAACACTCATATCTACCCAGAATATGTTGTCAGTTTCACGGTGCCCACAGATACTGAAGGTGGTATCATACTCGGTTTGTATTTCCATTTAACTTGATCCAGCAATTTGATAACAATACATCTAATTATTTCTGTTAAGTCATTGTATGGTTTATCTGTTGGAACACTTTTATGTGTTGCGTGCAACATTTCTTCTATACTTTCCTTAGTGTTGTGATTTGTTGGGCAATCCTTTGTTTCTTCTACTGTGTTTCCTTCCCAGTAATAACTGCAGGGGAAGCTGGAAAGAACTCTTTTTCCCCTAATTTCCTAACTTGGTGGAAGGCTTATAAAATTTATTGATATTTCATTGGTACCACCCCAACAATGTGTGACGAAATTCTTTGGCTTAGGGATGTTTTTTAACTGGACTGAGTTTTCAAACCATCCTCTGTTTTGCTTAATTCAGCCTGCAGATAAGTATGTGCACATATTAAATGAACTTAAATACAGTATTTTTTAAAAAATATCTTTGAGTAGGCTTTAATCTGTTAAGCTACATCTTTTTCAAGAGAACTACTGTGGTTTTTTGATTGTATTGTTGTGCGTCTCTACATAATTTTACAGAAGTTAAAAATATGTTGGTGTATGTTTGTTATAGAAATTGTAGACCATTACCTGCAAATATCTGAAAGATTGGATTTTGAACTTCTGTCTTGGGTAAATACAGGAGCTGAGGTTGCTGAAGAGAACCGACTTGATTTGTCTGGAGTTACTAGTCAGGAGCCTCAGGGGAAATTGCAGCTGGGTCAAGCTGCTGTTCAGCGGGTAATGGTTCCTCTGTCTTACCATAAGGAGAAAGTGAAGAAGAAAACAACTTGATTTTTTTGTTTGTTTGCTAATAATGTTTAGTGAACAGCTAAAACATGTTGGGAATGGTAATTTGAGTTCACTCTGCTCTGTTACTTAAATATAAGGAGCAACAAGTGAACTATGTTGGCACATGCCGATATCACCAGGCTACTCTAGAGGGCTTGCTTTATGCTTTCCAGTTCAAGAGCTGAGTTTAAGCTTGAGATTATAATGGTTATGCAAATGACCTGGACGCGCCAACGACTCTATGAGGTTTGACAGGCTTTATTGGAGTGCAGATTTTGACCTCACTAATAATGAATTATGTGCCTTTTTGACTTTTGGCTACTTATAAGAGATGGATTAATATGAAGGGCTTGAAAAGTATGAGGTTCAAATAACATAATGGTCTCTTCCATTTTTTAACCATGTTCCCACTATTAAATTCTGATCTGCCTGCATGGTAACTCATACAATATTGTAAGGACTGATAAGAGTTGTACTTCAACTGTCTAGATAGCATATGTATTTTATCTCATGAGTATTAGTTTAACTGCATTAATCTTTTTGTGACATAACTTGTTCACGAGACATTGTTGCTCTGGGGTTTTGTTTGGATTTGTGAACCTTTGAAAGAATATTGTGATGGGAATTAAGCTTCTTGTTGTAGTTATTAAATTTCTTTTAATAGTTGCATCCTGGTCAACCCATTGACCAATGATGGATGCAATGAATTTGTAATCCCTTAGGTGAAATAACTTATCTATATGGATATATATATACATATGTATACATGTGTATATATATGGATATACACGTGTGTGTGTATGTATATATATATGCATACATACATACATACATACATACATATATATAAATATATATATAGATATTGGCTTCACGTAGAATTTTGCACGACCATGATGCTTTATTGGCGTGCCTATGAGCCTTTTGAATTTAATATGGTCCATCTTGTTCGCTAGGGAAGAGAATGTCTGCTTAGCCGAAGCTCTCAGGCTGAAGCTGCTACTATTGGGTTGAGCAGCTCCAAGGCTCCTAAATCTCCTTGGATGCGTTTTGCTGTCTTATTTGAAGCTATATCAGATAAAATTACTCCTACAGAAATGCACTCAGTGCATACATATTATGAAATGTTTAGGGTATGTTAATTGGTCTGTGTTTTCCATGACTTCTGTTATTTCTTGGGATCATTCAAATGATTTATTCATTTCATTTGGGTTTAACTATATAGCAAAAGAAAATCAGCCGGGATGATTTCATAATCAAGCTGAGGTTGATAGTGGGTGATCAGTTGTTGAAGTCCACAATTACCAGTCTCCAGTGCAAGGTATATTGACATCTTGACTATATAATTGATTATTTAGTAGGGCCTATCTCTCTTTTTTGCTAGTCGGGCATTCGTCCGAAATTGCAGCATTCTAATATTGGTTGACAGGATTGTTTCTGAAATTAAACGTACTGATGTGCAAATTTCGTTGATTTTAGAAGTCCTGTTTGCGTGCTCTCAGTTCTGTTCTGCTTTGTCTTTAACCTGAGATTTTTGGTATTAAATTTGTGGCCGAAGTTTGGTTCATAGTACATGGGAACTTGGAGGAAGTCGTGACTATCTCTGGTTGCTTTTGCAGCTGCCACCCAATTCCGCATGCCCATTGGAAGCTCAATAACGGACGACATTGAAGTTCTATGCAACTATCCGGTGCTTCAGCTTCCTCGTACCGATCTTCAAGTTGTTAGCTGTTAAATAAATGATTATTGAAGTGATGACTATTGTGTCTTAGTAATAGTTGGAAACCTGCCCCTTGTTCTTTCTCCGCTGTTAATGTAGGTTAAGTTTTGTTAGTTGTCTGTCATACAGCTTTTAAAGTCAACGGCCTGCTTGTGTAATTTGGTCTGCTTGTTGTGAGTTATCAAAGCAAGGCGATGTTGAAGAAAGACGTTTTTGTGAATTCAGTATTTGGCCCTTTGCTTGAATGGCTTACAACTTTGCTCTAAAGCAATTGAAGAGTAACCATAGCAGTATTGAGTTTTTCTTAATTTGTGTTAAGGTTTCACGTATCAAGTCCATTAAACTACCCAACTCTTCCTGGCTTTCAACTGTGTGCCAACTGCCAAGGAAATGTTACTTCGGTTTAGTCTGAATATGACGCCATGCATTACATAAACGAATCAAGGCTGCTATGCTTCTATCTAAAATTATGGGGTACCTTTTGTTGCGACCATGTGTCTGCGTGCGTATGGTTCTCCGGTATGGTCTGCCTCCCAGTTTTTTAGGATTGTAATTTTATTCGTTTCTTTTCGCTATTGTCGAAGTTGCCAAAGAATCGCCACCATCTGCGAGTATATTTTGTTTTTTGTGATCTGTTAGAAATGACTTACAAAAATAGTACAAGCCAATTGTAATTACTCCAACAGTTAGGAAATAGACTGAGGCCTGATGGTGGGTTGGTCGGAGGGCAAGGAAAAGAATCACACCGTCCTATTTTATTTTTAATTTTTAGATACATATAGAAAAAAGTTTGGATGATTTTGATTTCGATCAGCCTCATTGCTGGGCAAGACGATGAGTTGCTTCTGACACTACTGTTTTACTTTAACTATGCACTCATCATCTGTTTAGCGAATGATATATTCCATTGGAGAAAGCCTTAGAGCTTTGTACACGCTGAATTTTAGGAATTGCTAAACTTCATATATAGAGCTTTTGGCCTATGTTCACAACTTTGTTCTTTGTTCATCGTCTTCAAACGATGGTCCGATCCTTATTGTCTCCATCCCACTACCTTTTTTTGATTCTCCCTTCCCATAAAAAAAGTCATCTTTTGAGCAAAGTTTGAAAACATATGAAGTGGTATACAGCTTTCAAAGGTTATCTGAGGACGAATATGCATATTCCTGTTAATGAATTTGATCTAAGTTTATACCCCAAATATTCCATATAGATATAGCCCATTATTCATATATTTGTGGGGCATGTATGCGTCACAAAAAAAGGGTTTTGTTTCCCCCCTTATCTTGGCTTAAGCAGAATTATTTTGGGAATTAAGAGCAAATTAACTCAATGAATTGCAATGGACTCAAGTCATCAAACTCATAACAAACCATTCATTTTCATAGATAATACGAGAAAATAGGTGTGTACACATAGCTGTGCCATTACCCTGTGTGTGTATAAGTACATACGTATGTCGTATGTGTATACTTGTGCGTGTGCAACTGTGTGAATATAAATGTGCCGTTATGCGTGCGCTTGTGTGTTTATAAACACATATGTTAATGCGTACGATGAACATACATATGTAATTACAGGAATCGGAGATAAATGGATCAAAAACAAGGAGATGGATAGAAGGTAGGACGGTTGTTGAAAAAAAAAAAAAAAGTCGGGGAACTTTGAGAGAAAGAAACAGAGAAATAGCCCAGAGAGCAAATTTTCACTATTTGGCAAACTGATTACAATGCAAAAAGTCTGAAAAATGAAATGGAGTTCGTAGACCCCTTTTCTACCTGAATTCCTAACAAAGTAAAGCATAGAATTCAAATGCCAATGAGAAAGCGTGGTTTCAAACTGACGCCAACACCGGCGCATCTCTTGGCTAAGTTCAAACTTGGGTTTGTTTGATTCGAGGGAAAGAAAGTCACATGAGAAAGTAAGGTGATAGAAAGCGAAGTCAAGAAAAGAGAAAATTACTTTCCAATGCATGTTTGTTTGATAAGAAAAATCTTGAAAGAAAAATGGGTAGTTAGTGACAATTATTGAAAATATTATGATTAACTAACAAATTTTCCCAAAATCCTATAGGACACAAAATGCCAAAAAAAAAAAGAGGGAAAGTGAAGAAAAGTTTACTAACTTTCCTGTCAAACAAACACTACACATCGAAAGAAAAAGTAACTTTCTCGCACTATCTTACACTTTTCCTTGCAAACAAACATTATTCGACATTTTTAAATCAGAATATCTCACAATCAAACTAAACCAAAATAAACTTGGAATAAAACAAAAATAATTACTTGCACTCCTCAATTTAGGACTCAGATATCATGATACAAACTAAATATTTTTCCCCTCAAATATAAAAAATAAAAAACTAAAAGTTCATGGTGTTTTTTTGGGCTAAAAATGAACTTGAGGACAAAAGTGAAACAACAAATAAAATTCAAACCCGGTTTTCAAAATCTCCAACTTGCAATAATTCAGTTCATTTTGGCCATCCGAAATAATCAAAGCCATAATGAAACTTTTGACACGAACATGTTCCAACTTTATCTTCAACCAAGCAGAAGTATTTCAATTGGGTCGTTGACTTCAGCTTCATCATTCATGTAGTATTCAACATCCAAATCAATTTGGGGGAAGGATTGAGCACTAAAGGACAAAGCATCAATGTAACTTCAATAATTTATTTTTATTTATGCATTTATTCTCTTACAAGTGACCCTCGTGGATGGAACTTTCACATACAAGACTTGAATTTTCTTCTTTTTTTTAATAAAATTTCATTATTTTTTCATTTCGACCGCTTCTTTTTTAATAGCGAAAATAGCCAAATTATCTTTAAACAAACAATTTTCTTTCACCTAATGCCTTATAAGGTTATTTAAACATGCAAGGCACACTTGATAATTAAAGACATGAAAGCTAGTAAATGAAACGAAATCGAAGCTGGGGCCTAATTGGAAAGATTTTATTACTTGGAGAGCCCAATTGAAACAATTTCACTTTTAGGGCTAAATAAAACTTTTGGTTAATTTGAAGGGCCAAAACCGAATTAACACAAATTGTAAGGTACCGTTACTTTCTGTCCGCGTCGGCACTACTAATCTTCATCTCCAAGCTCCTCCACCGGCATAACATTTATCCACGAAAAGGGTAGATTCGTTAATTCGAATTTTTGGGCTGTACAAAATTGGAAAGTAAAGAAAAATTATAGTCGGTCCCAGTGGAGAAAAAACTTACAAGTCTGCTTCCCTGCCGTGCTGCTGATTTAGGGTTTTGTGTCCCCCAAGACGACGACGTAGAAGAATAGAGCAGAGATTCTCCTATCCGTCGACTTGTCTTTTCGCTCTCGGTCTTTGTATTTCATCAAGGTTTTCTCCGTCTCTTTGTTTATATATAATTAAAAACTGATTTATGTCATTATTTTTGCCTTTTTTACTGAAAAAAAAAATCTGAAGTAACCGTTGTTTGGTTGAGTTTTTTTTTTTTTTGATTTTTTCGTTAGTTTCTAGGGATCAGTAGTAAATTCGTTGCATGCGAAAATCTGGTGTTTTATTTTGCATGCTTTTGAGTTGCATGCTTGATCGTTGATATCTAGATGATGGGGGCCCTAGAGGCTGAAATTTTCGCTAATTAAGTTAGTTTGTATTTTTTTCTCAAATTTTTGGTGAATTGAGTTAGGTTATCTTTGATGGATGGATTCTGTGTGGGTGCGCGTGTGCTTGTGCGTATGCGTCTGTTTTCCATTTTTCTTTTACATGAGAATTTGATTGTGATATGAGTTGATTAAAACTGGGAGAAGGTTATTACTTGTTGCTCTCAAAGCAGGGAAGAAAGGGAAATGCTACAGGATATTAACGCTTGGTTCCCTTTGGGAGAGGACTGTTTATGGCATGTAATTTGCAATTAATGCTCGGAAGATAGAATGGTTGAAGGCCTAAAGCCGCTAGCACATCATCAAATTACCAATTAAAATTCGATCGAGATGAATATGTGTTGAGCTGGCGTCATCACTGCACTTTGAGCACACGGCAAAGGGTTGTGCTACCAAAGATAACATTTGGCTGTTCCTTATTAGTTTGAACTTTAACGTTTAGCTTTGTTAATAGCCTTTTGTGCACATAATATCCGTTTACAATCTAGGTTGGGGCATAGGACACTGAAATAAGTTGCCCTGTTGGTGCGACTATAAGGTCTCCATGCAGCGAAGCTAGGGAAAAAATGCTGTAACTTTCTGAAGAAGGCTGTGTTTCAGCTTGTTTGCATGCACAAAGATAGGCTTGCACCACGGGGTGCTATTAGAGTAACCCCTTTTTATTGCATAAGAAGGTGCTTTTTGTGATCGGTTGTCCTGATGCAGGGCAAGTGATGCCATCAAGTTGTGGGAAATGGTCTAGTCAAGCCCCCTGCTAGTGCCCTTGTGCTCAACTACGTAGTCATGGTGGTTTCTGTCTGTTGCCACTACTTGCCTGGGAATGTGAATGTTGATGCTTCATTAGTAGAAAGTTTGTGTACGCACTACTGATAACTGGTTAAGATTGATGCTTGAGTGATTTGTTTATTGCTTTTATTCTGATCTTAATTGGATGATCTAGAGTTATTTGATTGTCAGTAATCTGCATGGCTTGTGATTTTCCATATAAATTTTTTCCCCATTTATCACCGCATTCTTGTTTTTATTTATAGTGTCAGTTTAAAATAAAATTCCACCTTTCAAGCCTTGAAATGTCTTCCCATGCCTTGTAATCTCCAAGATAGATGCTTTTGCAGTCGCACTGCAGTATTCTGTCTAAGCCAGAGTGGGTAGGACGGCATCAGTTGTCAAGCCCTACCTTTTCTTTTCTTCTTAATTTTTGTTTTCTTACTTTGTCGCGTAGATTTCAGACTGAGTTTTTAATTATCTATCTGCAATTTGATGGACACATCATATTTTATAGTTGCTCAAGATTGCTAATATTATGTAGCCTATGTGTATTTGTTCATTCTTTTATTTTGATTTTGTTTGAATTGTTATATATTGTAAGTTAGAGTGTCAATTGGCCTTTTTTTTTTTTTTAAGTGTTCTCAAGATTCAAAAGAGTTGGTATGTAGATAGGAGATTTTTTATGGAAATACTTATCAAGCATGTTGACCTTGCCTAGACATCTATGATAAGATGATGTTTGTGGTCAATAAAGTTGGTCTAAGCCAACTTTATATAAACTTCTTGTTGATATAAACTTCTGTCACTTGGTTGCATGCCTCCTCGTAACCATCCTTGTCTACATGGAATTAATCTGTTTTATTTCCCCAAACGGAGAGTCTTGTTAAGCATGTA